CCACTGATGTCACATGGACTGTTTTACCGATGTCCTTGCTACGTTTCTGGACCTGGGAACATTACAGTTGCGTTGCTGTGTCTATGCAGGGTCTGAGAGCTCTCACATTTCATCAAAAATATCTTAATTTGTGTTCCGAAGATGAACGAAGGTCTTACGGGTTTGGAACGACATGAGGGTAATTAATGACAGAATTTTCATTTTTGGGTGAACTATCCCTTTAAATGTCACATTTCTAGTCTTCTCTTTTGCTTTCTTTGGAATGGATGCGTTTCATTTGGTAAGATCCTTCTGGGAACTGTTCCATCTAAAATGTAATTGTTATTTCTTGCTTTTGATGAAGTTGATTAGCCTATAATATGATATAATCATTTATAATAAATAGGGACATTTTCCTGTTTTCTGCCCCTTCTCTTTCAGAGTTTCTTGTGAAGCAGTAAAAACAAGAAATATTAGGCAAAGGCCTACAGTTGGAACTAAGAATGCTGGGGGCACCTTTGGACAAAGTATCTTTTAGTGTTATTGCCTTGTTATTCCAGATAAAGGAAATCTGGGCTGTCAACATCATTAAAAGCAATGCTAGAAGTAAATGCCCCTCATTTTCAGTACCTCCTTTATAGATTTCCACTTCTCTTTTAGACTTTTGATTACTGTCAAATATATTCAGAACCCTTACAACCCCTTTGCCTGAAATGAAGCATCACCACCATGAAACATTTCACCATAGTGTCCTATATGTCACATGATGTGATCACATGAAAAATCCTGTTCAGTGTCTTGAACCCTTGTTTAAAAATCAATTTTTTCTTGTAGATTTTGAATGATGCTAAAGCTACCAGACAGGCTCTGAACGAGATTGAGTCACGGCATGATGAGATAATCAAGCTAGAGAAAAGTATTAAAGAGCTACATGATATGTTTCAGTACCTTGCAATGGAGGTGGAAGCACAGGTGAGATGAACACACTGGTTAGTTCATTCCTCAGATGTCTAATAAAACCATGATGTTTTATCATTTAAAAAACATTGTTTCATTTAATGTTATTTTTGTCCATATTTTAATTGAAATCTGTATTCTATGTGAAAAAAAAAAAAAACATTTTCAGGGTGAAATGGTGGACCGGATTGAGGAGAACATTAAGAGTTCCCATAACTACGTGGAGAAAGCTGTTGCTGACACAGCTGCTGCTGTAGAAACTTCAAAAAAAGTGCACAAGGTGAGTAACTTATTAATATGATTATTGATTTATTGACAATATCATTACATCATTGACCAGTGTGAATTATCACATTTCTTCTTCACAGAAAAAAATATGGATTGCCTTATGCCTTGCTATTTTAATTGTAATAATAGCCATTATCCTGGCTGTCAGTTTAGGTTGAGGTAAGTTCCATCAATTGTATTGAATTTGAATGTTAACTTTATGCAAGCTATTTAAAGGGATAGTTCACCCAAAATTGAACATTTACTCACCCTCAGGCCATCAAGATGTAGGTGATTTTCTTTTCTTCAGTAGAACAGATTTTTAGCTGAAACCATGGTCCTTGGTGATTCATAACATGCAACTCAGTGGACGGCCATTTTTGAGAATAAAAAAAAATCATATCAAGGCACACCAAATTAACACCTGTGGCTCCTGACGATATACTGAGCTCTTATGAAGCGAAACAATCGGTCTGTACAAGAACCTGAACATTATTTACAACATTACCTGTAATCAATAGCCTCAGGCAACAGGGAAATCAATTATTTTTCGGACAGTTCGTTTCAATTAACTGGTTCAATTCAATAGTTCTTTTACATAATCACGCAAGGATGTAACATATACACAATTGTATTATTAAAGCACCCAATAATAATTTGAAATGTGGATGTTTTACATGTCTAATGCATATACAGTGACTAAACTTGTGTTCATCAGCTAAATAATTAAATTTCGCCCCTTCATACAACTGCTTGGTTCATGCACACATCACCGGCTCTTCAGTCCGAGTCAGAACTGTTTTCACATTTCAATGACTGTTTGAGGACTGGATCGCTGAATGAGTTGGCAAAAAACATCATAGAATCATATACACCGATATTTTGGCTGATTTCAAGTCGGAGTTGACTGTCAGTCATGTCCAAAAGTGAGTTTTGATTGAGTAACTTCTAGATCTGTGCTGCTCAAACCACAAACTGTTTCAGACAGTTCAGTTCAACCGGTTCAAAAGAATGATTTGTTTGCAAACTGGACATCACTCAGGACCATTTAACTGAGGCTATGGATTACAGGTAATAATGTTGTAAAAAAACGTTTAGTTTCATGCGCAGACTGATCATTTTGCTTCATAAGACCTCAAGATATTGTCAGGAGCCACAGGTATTAATTTTGTGTTCGATATGCCTTTTTTTTATTTGCAATGACAGGCAGCAACTGACTTGCATTTTATGAATCATCAAGGATCACCGTTTCAGCCAAAAATCTTCTTTACTGTTCTCCTGAAGAAAAAAGTCCCCTACATCTTAGATGACCTGAGGGTGAGTAAACAGCAAATTTTCATTTTTGGGTGAACTATCCCTTTGTGCCCAAATGTGTTACAGTTCTGTCATTTTGATATTTAAATCATGTATCCATTTTCTTTACAGTGTTTTCCTTTATTAGATTTATTTTTGCCCGTCAAGCACTGGGTTTTTTCTACCTAAACAGTCTTCCTGAAGTCCCTCTAACAAACAACATCGCCATGTGTAAACATGACCATTATTGGTATCCCAACTGTTTTGGTAGCTCCATTTGCTTAAATTCTAAATTGTTGATCTGTTGTTTTAGCTGTTTTGTCCTATAATTTCCTGAAAATGTATCTGCTGCACCACTTGGACATTTAAAAAGTTACATGGTAAAAACGGTTTGAATTAACTGATTGCTTTACTGACTGTATTTCCAAGATGGTGGACTTCATTTGCAACACCAACACTAAAACATGGTCATATAGGGTAGATGAAGAAGAAATGCTAATGAGATTCCTAATATATAACGCTTCCATTCGGAGACAAGCTCAAGAACTCTGAGTGATGGGCTATTTGTCTTTGCCCTAATATGTTTATAAGATGTATTTTGTGTTATCTGTTGTGATTTATCCTTTTGTAATGCCATTTCAAACTCGAAATTCGCTAAAAATAGCATTCATGGTCATCTGTATATATATATAATTTTATACTCTGCTTTGCATTATAGTAACTACCTTTCAAAATACTACTTGGTCACACAATGACATGTCGCATATGTATATTTTAACTCATTTGTGCTCTGTCCCAGTAAAGACATGCACTTTTAAGAACTGATTATGTACAGTTACTTGTTTAGTGCCTCAACCTTGGTGCCTTTTCTTGAGCAGTAATATATGGAGTACCCACTGTGTGGCACTATAAATGTCGAGATCACCAAGAATGCAGTTTATTTGGTTTCAGTTTGCAGCCTGTAGACATACTGCCACACATTTCATTCATTCTGATGTAAAATTGTAATTTTTTAAATAAAGTACATATTATATATTTGATTGTTTGTAATGTTTTTCTTGTCTTACCGTATTTTTTTAAATAATTTTGATATTTGAATTCCCTTTTTACTGTTCAAATACAACTGATTGGATGATATACAGTTGAAGAAGTTTACATACACCTTGCAGAATCTGCTAAATGTTAATTATTTTACCAAAATAAGAGGGATCATACACAATGCATGGTATTGTTTATTTAGTACTAACATGAATAAGATATTTCACATAAAAGATGTTTACATATCGTCCACAAAAGAAAATAATGGTTGAATTTATAAAAATTCAAATTCAAAAGTTTACACCCCCTTTATTGTGTTCTTAGTTACCTGAATGATCCACAGCTGTGTTTTGTTTTGTTTGTTTAGTGATAGTTGTTCTTGAGTCCCTTGTTTGTCCTGAACCTGAACAGTTAAACTGCCTGCTGTTCTTCAAAAAAAAAAAATCCTTCAGGTCCCACAAATTATTTGGTTTTCCAGCATTTTCGTGTATTTGAACCCTTTCCAACAATAACTGTACTATTTTAAAATCCATCATTTCACACTGAGGACAACTGAGGGACTCAGTTTACATATCGTCCACAAAAGAAAATAATGGTTGAATTTATAAAAATTCAAATTCAAAAGTTTACACCCCCTTTATTGTGTTCTTAGTTACCTGAATGATCCACAGCTGTGTTTTGTTTTGTTTGTTTAGTGATAGTTGTTCTTGAGTCCCTTGTTTGTCCTGAACCTGAACAGTTAAACTGCCTGCTGTTCTTCAAAAAAAAAAATCCTTCAGGTCCCACAAATTATTTGGTTTTCCAGCATTTTTGTGCATTTGAACTCTTTCCAACAATGACTGTATGATTTTGACATCCATCTTTTCACACGGAGGACAACTGAGGGATTCATATGCAACTATTACAGAAGGTTCAAACGCTCACTGATGCTCCAGAAGGAAAAACCATGAGACTAGTCCCCTCATAACTCATAGCTCTGTATGACATAATACACGGGAATCCCCAGTAGTTTCATTTGGACAGTCGTAGTTGGCACCGACCTGCCCATAGAACTACATCTCCCAGATTGTGTTTACTAGTTTGCTTCCATTTATAGCAACTGCCGTGTATCTCGCCGCCTGTTCAACACGGCGACAGAAGGAGGTTCAGGTAACATTTTATTTATGGAAGTTGTTTATTGTGAAAATATCACCAAATTAACACGCCAAAGCGTTGGTTTGTCCAATGTTTTATACTGATTTGAAACTATAAAAAGTTTTCATTTTAAGATTACAAGCCGTGTCGTGTTTACTTAAACACTTTTTTGTGTTTAAACAATATTTTATTATATACCTATGTAACAAAATCAAACAAATCTAGCATGTTGTCAGTCGAGTCGCTTTTGTTTGTCCTCGTTACGCCCTTACATAATGAAAGTGAAAGAATAACTCAACAACGGCAAAACCAAGCATAAAGAAGCTTTTGACTAAAATAATCTTTTGGGGCATTGAAAGGTGACTGTGTCCCACATAAACACCGGGATGAATGACGGAACGGAGGAAGAGACGGCCCCCGTTATAATGGAGACTTCATCGTACTCGCAGGTAGTTTTCAACGATGTTCCTCCATCATTTCCGCCAAACACCGCAGTTACGTGCCGGTACACCCTGACCGGTGCTGTGAAGCCCAACCCGAGCGACTGGATCGGTATCTATAAGGTGTGTAAGAAGTAACAGCATACACTATATTTCCTGTATTGCAGTGGTTCTCAAACCTGTCCTTGAGTACTGCACATTTTGTATGTCTCCCTCATCTATCACACCTGATTCAACTCATCAGCTCATTAGTGGAGACTGCATGACCTGGGCCGTTTCTCAATACCAAGTACGCAAAGTTCGGACTTCGCAAGTACGACTCGGGGGAGTGCGAACTCCTGGGGACGTGAGGAACAGCAGCGTACTTGATAACGTCAGTCAGCTCGCCTTACTCCGGTTATCTACACTATAGCCTATATGTAGTACACTATACACTATATGTATTTACATACGACGAAATATGATATCAAACACCACTGCCTCTTTTTGTTTTCATTTAAACATATTAATAGCTGCAAAAATGTAGTTCAGAGAATGTACATACATTACAGTGAAACGAAATATATCAAACAGCAATTGCCTCTTTTCTGTTTCATTTAAAATATTAATAGCCACAAAAATGTGGTTCATGCAACGCGTACACGCATTACAATACGAAATGATAAACACCACTGCCTTTTCGTTTTCTTCAAAATATGAAATACAACCCTCTTTTCGTTTTCATTTTAAAAACATCAAACATTAATATGTGGTTTAGGTAATATGTGCACATACTTTGATTATCTTCACTGTATGTATAATAAAATGAAATTAAGCACAACTCTGCCTTTTTTGTTAAATGTCAGTTTAACTTGTTTTAATGAACAATAATAGCCACTATAAAAGTATAAGTATAAAGTATAAGAGACTTATGTAATAGGAAATAAAGACAAAAGCAAACAATTCAGTCAAATGTATGCAACAAAGTCAGCGTTGTATTACGATTAATAAATAAATAATTTATGAAACATAACTTTGTGCTCAGCCAAAACGATATGACCTGGAAGAAATAATAGATTCATGAGACCAAATATTACCTGATATACCCAAAACGAATTTTACCTCATGTTCAACCACTACAGAGACATCAGAGCCAGCGGCAAGTGTCAGAAGGACTAGCCGCGGTGAGGCTGCTCTAGGCGGATACATGAGCACTGAGCGCCCGGTGATCGCGTGGATCTCACGTCTCCGAAATCGGCGAAGCACATTTTCAAATAGGCGCTATCTTTATAAATAAACCGCAGATTTGAGTTTTAAACAACTACATTCTCTCCTGAAATTCTCTTAGAACTGCATTTCATGGCACAATAACAGTAATATTTTGAAAATTATGCTGGTTTCCCCCTCTGCCATTAACGCTCGCTGATTGGTGCGAAATGCATACTGTGATACCTGGCTGCAGCGAGGACCTCGAGAAGGGAATATCTGCAGCCTGGAGATCTCCAAATGGGGGCGGGAACTCCAAAACGGGGTGGGAGCTCCAAAATAGAGCGTGGCTTCCTCCCATTGACAGACAGGCACATGCACTTTTTTCTCTATCCAGTTCAGTGGAAACTCCGCCCCACAGCTGATTCTAAAGATTTTATTGGTTGTGTCAATCACAGTGTTGATTTCCTACACTATGCTACAAAAAATGCTAACCCCTAAACCTACCCCACACCTGACCATAACCTTAACCAGTGAAATTGACTGCATGGCGGGATTGGCGCTGAATAGCCTGGTAAAGAAAGTTCAGGAGATAAGCAGTTAATAAGATTATGCGATATGAGATCGCCGAGCCGGGCCGTTCCGTAACTTCCCAACCGGACCTCACCGGACAATTGCACCTTTTTAGTTACTCCAGTTATACCTACTTGGTCTGTCAATGGGAGGAAGCCACGCCCTATTTTGGAGCTCCCACCCCGTTTTGGAGT